TTTCACCGGGGGGGGGGGTAGTGCCCAGTGCTCGCAGGGGGTGGGGGTGGCAGCAGCCCCACAGGAACCAGCCTCCCTCTCCCCCGCTGCTGCCTCTGATGCATGGCCCCCTCCAAGAACTCCAGATTAGTGAGGCCGGATTTCCCTTTGCCGAAGCCAGCCCGCCTCTGAGCCCAGCCCAGCTCCCCACCAGCTGGGCAGCAGGGAACATCCGCCCCACACTCGCCTCACCCACGGCCCAGGCGGGGCCACCTCGCTCCGCGGGGAAGGGCAGTGATTGGATCTCTGCAGTGACCGCGTCTCCTGGCTGCTCCCGTCGGGCTGGCGCGGCCGTTACTCTCTGCCCTTCCAGCTCCTCTGCGGCCTCTCGCTCCTCCTTGGCATTTGAACCCATCGGACCTAATGTTCCTTCCTGTCTTCTCCCCGGTCTTCAACGGCCCCTCTTCTCCGCCCGCCCCCCCGCTGGCGTGGGGCACCCCTCTGAGAGCGGCCAGGCCGAAGGCCCCTCCAGTCCAGTGCCGGGGCCCCCGCGGGAGGGAACAAACAGGGAATCCCCAAGTGACCTACCCTGGCCAACAGGCGAATAGCCCTTCCAAGAACCTAGCCAGTGCTTTTTTGCACCCCTCTGGCAGAGTTCCCCAGGCCCTGCCTGTTGTATGATGAGATGCTTCCTCGTCTTTTTCAACCCGCTGCCCACGGAGTCACTGGGCCGCTCCTGGCCTCATTTCCCTTCTCCACAGCACTGTTCTCCGCTGCCGGCCGCTGCACACAGAGGGGTGTTTTCCGAGAGCTAGCCACAGGGACTCCAAGATCTCTCCGAGTGGTACGGCTCATTCAGAGCCCAGCATTGCTACGGATGGTGGGGACTGTTTTCCAGGGCGCGTTACTTGGCGTTTATCAACACTGAATTTCATGTCATGTTGTTGTCCAGTCTCCCAGCCTCGGGAGATCCCTTTGTAGCGCTTCGCAGGACCTATCCGGATACTTCTGTATCCACTATCCATGTTGCCACTAGTTTTTTGCCTCTGTGGTTTTGGTTTTTACTCGGGGGCTCCAATTAAATGTGACTTTCCCATGGTGTTTTTTAGCATTTCCATGCAACTTGCAGGCATTTCACTCTTCGACTGTTCCTCTTCATTTCCCTTCAGCTAGAATCACAGAACTGGAAGAGACCTCAGACCAGCCCCAACTCAATCAGCCCAGCCAGGGCTTTGTCCAGCTGGGACTTACACACCTCTAGGGATGGAGACTCCCTCCCCTGCCTAGTAAAGGAAAGCAGTTTTTCCTAATAGCCTTGTTTGTGTGTAGCTCCCCTTTGGGTAAGTGCTACTGGGGTGGGGGGTGGTATTTCTGTCCCCACTCGTACTGAGCGGTTCGGTACATTCACCTCGGAGAGCAGACTCCACGTGCCGCTTAGGCTCAAGCTGGGGTTTCCTCTTCCCGGGGGCTCCTGGACTTTCTGCTCCACGAAGCAGGTACTAGTTGTGTCTAGAACGGAGCCTC